ACTATAGCATCTGAGTCCTTATCCTAACGATAGCATCAAAGTCCCTATCTTAACTACAGCATCAGAGTCCATATCCTAACTATAGCATCAGAGTCCCTATCCTAACTATAGCATCAGAGTAGCATCAGAGTCCCTCACCTAACTATAGCATCAGAGTCCCTCACCTAACGATAGCATCAAAGTCCCTATCTTAACTACAGCATCAGAGTCCATATCCTAACTATAGCATCAGAGTCCCTATCCTAACTATAGCATCTGAGTCCTTATCCTAACTATAGCATCAAAGTCCCTATCTTAACTACAGCATCAGAGTCCCTAACCTAACTATAGCAGCAGAGTCCCTAACCTAACTATAGCATCAGAGTCCCTCACCTAACTACAGCATCAGAGTCCCTATCCTAACTTTAGCAACAGCGTCCCTATCTTAACTACAGCATCAGAGTTCCTATCCTAACTTTAGCAACAGCGTCCCTATCTTAACTACAGCATCAGAGTTCCTATCCTAACTTTAGCAACAGCGTCCCTATCTTAACTACAGCATCAGAGTTCCTATCCTAACTTTAGCAACAGCATCCCTATCTTAACTACAGCATCAGAGTTCCTATCCTAACTTTAGCAACAGAGTCCCTATCTTAACTACAGCATCAGAGTTCCTATCCTAACTTTAGCAACACATCCCTATCTTAACTACAGCATCAGAGTTCCTATCCTAACTTTAGCAACAGTGTCCCTATCTTAACTACAGCATCAGAGTCCCTATCCTAACTTTAGCAACAACGTCCCTATGTTAACTACAGCATCAGAGTCCCTATCCTAACTTTAGCAACAGCGTCCCTATCTTAACTACAGCATCAGAGTCCCTATCCTAACTTTAGCAACAACGTCCCTATGTTAACTACAGCATCAGAGTCCCTATCCTAACTATAGCATCAAAGTCCCTATTTTAACTACAGCATCAGAATCCTTTTCTTAACTACAGCATCAAATTCCCTATCTTAACTACAGCATCATCCTTTTCCTAACTACAGCATCAGAGTACCTACCCTACAGCATCAAAGTCCCTATGTTAACTACAGCATCAAAGTCCCTATGTTAACTACAGCATCAAAGTCCCTATCTTAACTACAGCATCAGAGTCCCTATCTTAACTACAGCATCAGAGTCCCTATGTTAACTACAGCATCAGAGTCCCTATCTTAACTACAGCATCAGAGTCCCTATGTTAACTACAGCATCAGCATCCTTTTCTTAACTGCAGCATCAGAATCCCTAACCTAACTTTGGCAACAGAGTCCCTATCTTAACTACAGCATCATAATCCTTTTCTAACTACAGCATCAGTCCCTATCCTAACTATAGCATCAAAGTCCCTATCTTAACTACAGCATCAGAGTCCTTATCCTAACTATAGCATCTGAGTCCCTATCCTAACTATAGCATCTGAGTCCTTATCCTAACGATAGCATCAAAGTCCCTATCCTAACTACAGCATCAGAGTCCCTCACCTAACTATAGCATCAGAGTCCCTAACCTAACTATAGCATCAGAGTCCCTCACCTAACTATAGCATCAGAGTCCCTAACCTAACTATAGCATCAGAGTCCCTAACCTAACTACAGCATCAGAGTCCCTATCCTAACTATAGCATCTGAGTCCCTATCCTAACTATAGCATCTGAGTCCTTATCCTAACTATAGCATCAAAGTCCCTATCTTAACTACAGCATCAGAGTCCCTAACCTAACTATAGCATCAGAGTCCCTAACCTAACTATAGCATCAGAGTCCCTCACCTAACTATAGCATCAGAGTCCCTAACCTAACTATAGCATCAGAGTCCCTAACCTAACTATAGCATCAGAGTCCCTATCTTAACTACATCAGAGTTTCAGTCCTAACTACAGAATCAAACATTATGACAGACACCCATACAGCTGTATACAAGACATACCCAGGTATGACTACCCACTATACATAGAGTAAGCGAGGTTCACCTCCTTTCCTTCCTTCCTTTTAGTTAAACAATTCTTGCTTGCTGGTGTATCATCCTATTCAATAGCCAAGGTTATTTGAGGATGGCTACCTCACTAAAGAACATACCACAATCCCATCACATGTCACCCGAAGGGACTGGGGTTAAGTGTCTTGACCAAGGATACAACCATGTCAGCACCGACAAATCCATTTTTAAGCTGCCAAAAAAACACAAACTGTCATAGGTAGGGAACATTGAATCACACACCTCAGATATTCTTCACTCCATCAACTAAACACTCTCCATCTGTCTATAGGAGACCTTGACCTTAAAGAATCATGCTGGAATTTGGACTTCAATGAGCTAGACCAAAGAAAATTAGAATACTGATCGACACATATCAGGAAAGGCCCAATGTGTCAGATCCTAAACCTGAGTGCTGCATTGATACTGAATTTTTGTTTATTGCTTTACAGACATAACAATTTACCTGTGAACTATAATTATTTCAAATCTGACCTTCACCTTTTGACCTTTATCACTGACCTATGGTCTGTTGAAATCTCATTTGATTTTAGTCAATAACGCTTCATAATGTCATCACAAAATATATGCCAGTAAAATATTTCAAATTTTACTTTGACTTCATACCTTATAACCTTGACCTGTAGTCATGTGACTGTGTCTTATTTGATTTTAATTTCAATCAATTATACTTCATTATGTCATAGGTCAATATTTACCAATAATATTCTGATAAACTTTTTGTTGTATTCCGATTTCTATTTATAGAATGTGTACTTGGCCTTTCACCTCTAAACATAAAAAGCGATTAAGAGCTAACCTTTCCTGCCTGTGAATAAGTATTAGCGAAAACTGCCGGTAATCATTCAAACAGTACTTAGATATTTCTCAGAAAGAGATTTTAAGATATCTTGCAGAAACCAATTTTATATTTATAGTAACAAATACCTGCCATTCTATGTAATAGTAAGGAGTAGAATAGGAGACCCGGCATCTTGTGTGTTCCAATGCCCTAATTTCGGTCAAGGGGAAACACCCTGGTGGTGTAACAGAGGGAAAAGCCCTAAGAAAATCCTGCAAAATTTAGGGTTCTTTGAGGACATTTTGAGCAGTGCCTGGTGACCCTTATATAAGATGAAATATACATTGTTACATGAATAAAAGCTGACAATCATCTAAACTGTGTTTTTTATTTGAAAAATGTTATGAAATAAGTTGCCAATATGATGGTCCAAAGCCAAGAACAGGAGCAAGTGTTCAATTAACAACTTCTGCATGTGTACCCCTAGAACTGGAACCAATTACAAGGTATTGTTTAGACTTGTAGTGTTTTCATTTGCAAATGCTTGTTTATATCAAACTCACCATCATAAGATATAGACAAAAATATATACTTGTCCCTTTTCTTTATTCTCTTATCCTGGGATACTTTTTGTATGCCTCTCTAAATTGCTGCAAGCTGAATGTGTTTGTAAATCAAAGTAGCACATGATATGATACTTGAGAAATCATCAGTAAGCCTTTAAATGATCTGATATTACACACAGCATGTAAAAATGTATTAAGTGATAATTTATCTTTCAATCTTTCAAATCGTAACAAGAGGCCCAATGGGCCTACACCGTTCGCCTGGTATCCAATGGACATAAAAAGTACAATCAATGTTCATCATAAATGCATCAACATGTGCACTAATGGATTTCAAAAAGGACACATTTTATCAATTTTAACCAATTTCCACAACAAACTTTAGGTTGTAACATTCAGCTGTAAACAGTGGCAGTTATGAGCTGGATTCTAGCTTTGGTTATCAAAAGAAATTCTTTTAAAGTTTTAATAAATTCATCCCCCATTACCTTCAATATGGATTAATCATGTCTTTTCACAAAGGTTGTCAGAATTCATACCAGGAACCTTTCAACCAAATATCATGCTTCTTGGCCTTTGAGTTACTCAGAAGAAATTGTATCGAAATTTGGCCATGGTGAATTTTGGTCAGGGTCTTTTTTCACAATATTTGTCAGGCTTGGGAACCTACAATCCAAAACATTCTACACCTTTTCATTCATCAGAAGAAGTCATTTTCAGAATTTTCACAAATATAATTCCTCACCTTGAATATGGGTCAAGGTCATTTCTTATTACAAACTTTATCAGAATTCATACTAGGAACCTATCATCCAAATATCATATTTCAGTGCCTTTTGGTTAGTGAGAAGAATTTGTTAAAAGGGTTTAAGAATGACCTTGACCCTTATTCAAGGTCATATTGGCCCAATTTGTTAAAAGGGTTTAGCAAATTTGGCCAATTTGACCTTGAATAAGGGTCAAGGTCATTCTTTAGCAAACTTTGTCAGGTTTCATCATAGGAATTTATTAGCTACATAATATGCTTCTGCACCTATTGGTTAATTTGAAGATGTTGCTTTGAGGTTGAAACAAATTTGACCCATGTGACCTCAGATATCCATCAAAATAGTTTCTTTTCGAAAACTTACTAGGACTTCATCTCACCAGCCTACAAATCAAATATCGTAATATTTCTTCAGTGGGTTATTGAGAGGAAGTTGATTAAATGGAAAGTTAATGCAAGATGGTTTGACAGACAACAGGTGACCTGACAACAGATGACCTGACAACAGAAAGGCACTGGATGCTGTACTTGAGTGCTTTTCGGGCCAGGTGAGCTAAAAACTAGTAGTTATGGAAACAGTGACAGACGGACAACTTGATTTTTATAGGGCACTCTCATATTCAATGTGGTAAACTAATTATCTCTCTTCTCAGGTAAATGTTATATCTAGCCATCATTAAATTTACTATTCAGTTCAAAAATAGCTTAGGTACATGTTACTGCATGTCTTGAAAAATTAGCATACCTACAAGAAACAAATGTGGCTTGGTAAGTGACCTCATCCCTGGTCGATTTGGTGAAGCTAGTGTTCTATATACTGTGACATTCAACATGAACTCTACTTCATGTCAAGTTACTCCCCTCCTTACCTGTAAGAGCCATGCTGTGACACATCCCTCCTGCGACCTTTGTGACTTTGCTCCTCCCAATTGCCATGGGGATAGGTGACAATAAATCAGAGGACTTGCTTCCACAGGCCTTTCCAGAGCCCCAAATAAAAACCTCACCTTGATCTGAAACATAACACAAGGTATATCTCTACTCTTCATTTTGTCATGAGTCTGAAGAAAAGTTAAAAGTAAAAATTTGACTCTGCATGCTGTTGACTGGAAATCCCAATCATGATAATATTATCGTCCCCCACAGACTGCTGGGAAATCTGCCTTGCTGATATATCAAACAAGATGGCCATGACCATTAACAGTCATCTAACAATCGATGAATGGATGGACAAACCACTCTCCGTAATTTTTCAGACCAAATCTGGTTGAAATCCATTCAAGCATTAAGAAAGTGTAGCATTTTGAAGCAATATTGACTAACTTTTCTATCTGGAGCCCCGACCACCCTCAGGTCCCTGGGTGTCGAATCAACTTTCTGAATTTAAGAAATGATTTAGCTGAAATCTACCTAAGCATTAAGGAGTAGCATTTTGAAGCAAAATATTGTCCAATTTCCCCTTTTGGGGCCTTGCCCAAAGTCCCTTGGGGTCAAATCAAATTTCTGAAGTTAAGAATTATTTGCCAATCCCGACTGATGTTACAGACAAAATCTGAGTGAAATCCAATCCAGCATTATAAAAAGTAGGATTTGTAAGCAAAATACTATCAAACTATCCTTTGTGGGCTCCATTCCCTGTTTCAGACTATATTTGGTTGAAATCTACCAAACGTAAAGCAGGAATAATGTTTAACCTGTTAGAGAGAGTTATGTTACAGGAGAGATATATTATTAGATGTTCCCTATTAGAGAGAGTTATGTTACAGGAGAGTTATACAATTAGAGGTTCCCTATTAGAGAGAGTTATGTTACAGGAGAGTTATACAATTATAGGTTTCCTATTAGAGAGAGTTATGTTACAGGAGAGTTATACAATTAGAGGTTCCCTATTAGAGAGAGTTATGTTACAGGAGAGTTATACAATTAGAGGTTCCCTATTAGAGAGAGGTATGTTACAGGAGAGTTATACAATTAGAGGAGAGTTTCCAGAGAGAGTTATGTTACAGGAGAGTTATACAATTATAGGTTTCCTAGGTTCCCAGGAGAGTATTAGAGAGAGTTATGTTACAGGAGAGTTATACAATTAGAGGTTCCCTATTAGAGAGAGTTATGTTACAGGAGAGTTATACAATTAGAGGTTCCCTATTAGAGAGAGTTATGTTACAGGAGAGTTATACAATTATAGGTTTCCTATTAGAGAGAGTTATGTTACAGGAGAGTTATACAATTAGAGGTTCCCTATTAGAGAGAGTTATGTTACAGGAGAGTTATACAATTATAGGTTCCCTATTAGAGAGAGTTATGTTACAGGAGAGTTATACAATTAGAGGTTCCCTATTAGAGAGAGTTATGTTACAGGAGAGTTATACAATAAGAGATTCCCTATTAGAGAGAGTTATGTTACAGGAGAGTTATACAATTAGAGGTTCCCTATTAGAGAGAGTTATGTTACAGGAGAGTTATACAATTATAGGTTTCCTATTAGAGAGAGTTATGTTACAGGAGAGTTATACAATTAGAGGTTCCCTATTAGAGAGAGTTATGTTACAGGAGAGTTATACAATTATAGGTTTCCTATTAGAGAGAGTTATGTTACAGGAGAGTTATACAATTATAGGTTTCCTATTAGAGAGAGTTATGTTACAGGAGAGTTATACAATTAGAGGTTCCCTATTAGAGAGAGTTATGTTACAGGAGAGTTATACAATTAGAGGTTCCCTATTAGAGAGAGTTATGTTACAGGAGAGTTATACAATTAGAGGTTCCCTATTAGAGAGAGTTATGTTACAGGAGAGTTATACAATTAGAGAGAGAGAGTTATGTTACAGGAGAGTTATACAATTAGAGGTTCCCTATTAGAGAGAGTTATGTTACAGGAGAGTTATACAATTAGATGTTCCGTATTAGAGAGAGTTATGTTACAGGAGAGTTATACAATTAGAGGTTTCCTATTAGAGAGAGTTATGTTACAGGAGAGTTATACAATTAGAGGTTCCCTATTAGAGAGAGTTATGTTACAGGAGAGTTATACAATTAGAGGTTCCCTATTAGAGAGAGTTATGTTACAGGAGAGTTATACAATTAGAGGTTCCCTATTAGAGAGAGTTATGTTACAGGAGAGTTATACAATTAGAGGTTTCCTACTAGAGAGAGTTATGTTACAGGAGAGTTATACAGAGTTATGTTAGGAGAGTTATACAATTAGAGGTATTAGAGAGAGTTATGTTACAGGAGAGTTATACAATTAGAGGTTTCCTATTAGAGAGAGTTATTTACAGAGAGAGAGAGTTATGTTACAGGAGAGTTATACAATTATAGGTTTCCTATTAGAGAGAGTTATACAATTACCAATTATTTAGAGAGAGTTATGTTACAGGAGAGTTATACAATTAGAGGTTCCCTATTAGAGAGAGTTATGTTACAGGAGAGTTATACAATTAGAGGTTCCCTATTAGAGAGAGTTATGTTACAGGAGAGTTATACAATTAGAGGTTCCCTATTAGAGAGAGTTATGTTACAGGAGAGTTATACAATTAGAGGTTCCCTATTAGAGAGAGTTATGTTACAGGAGAGTTATACAATTAGAGGTTCCCTATTAGAGAGAGTTATGTTACAGGAGAGTTATACAATTTCCCTATTAGAGAGAGTTATGTTACAGGAGAGTTATACAATAGAGAGAGTTATGTTACTATTAGAGAGAGTTATGTTACATGAGAGTTATACAATTATAGGTTCCCTATTAGAGAGAGTTATGTTACAGGAGAGTTATACAATTAGAGGTTCCCTATTAGAGAGAGTTATGTTACAGGAGAGTTATACAATTAGAGGTTACCTATTAGAGAGAGTTATGTTACAGGAGAGTTATACAATTATAGGTTCCCTATTAGAGAGAGTTATGTTACAGGAGAGTTATACAGAGAGAGTTATGTTACAGGAGAGTTATACAATTAGAGGTTCCCTATTAGAGAGAGTTATGTTACAGGAGAGTTATACAATTAGAGGTTCCCTATTAGAGAGAGTTATGTTACAGGAGAGTTATACAATTAGAGGTTCCCTATTAGGGAGAGTTATGTTACAGGAGAGTTATACAGAGGTTCCTAGAGAGTTATGTTACAGGAGAGTTATACAATTAGAGGTTCCCTATTAGAGAGAGTTATGTTACAGGAGAGTTATACAATTAGAGGTTCCCTATTAGAGAGAGTTATGTTACAGGAGAGTTATACAATTAGAGGAGTTCCAGGAGAGTTATACAATTAGAGGTTCCGTATTAGAGAGAGTTATGTTACAGGAGAGTTATACAATTAGAGGTTCCCTATTAGAGAGAGTTATGTTACAGGAGAGTTATACAATTAGAGGTTCCCTATTAGAGAGAGTTATGTTACAGGAGAGTTATACAATTAGAGGTTCCCTATTAGAGAGAGTTATGTTACAGGAGAGTTATACAATTAGAGGTTCCCTATTAGAGAGAGTTATGTTACAAGAGAGTTATACAATAAGAGGTTCCCTATTAGAGAGAGTTATGTTACAGGAGAGTTATACAATTATAGGTTCCCTATTAGAGGGAGTAAATGAGTTCTATTAGGGGGAGTTATGTAATAGGAGAATTATATAGTTAGAGATTACCTATGACAGGAATTAAAATTACAGGAAAGTTATACTATTCAAAGTTCCCTATAAGGGGGAGTTATCTTACTTGAGCGATACTATTAGAGGTTCCCTATTAGAGAGAGTTGTTACTTTAAATTATTAGTGGTTCTATATGTCATTATATTAGAAGATTCCAAGTCATACCTGTAATTGCTAGACTGTGGTTTGAGCCACAAGCCACCTGTGTAATGGGACTGGTCATCTCAAGAATCTTTGGCACCAGGGCCTCCTCTCTATCACCTGTCCCAATCTGTCCAGTGGCATTGCACCTGTAGTGAATTAATCAGGATTATAGTAGACTTAGTGACAATTAAAACTCCAGATACATTTTTATTTAGCTTATTACACAATGTTATCCAATAGTCGTAAATGGAGGTTTTCTGAAGTGAACAAAATGCGTAAAGCCTGTAAAATAATCATTCAAAGGAAATTCTAATCAATTTGATTTTCTAATAACATTACTTAAGTAGTTTTCTCTTCTACAAGTTTTTGTTATTGTGATGAGCTCACAAAGTTCAGATTTGATATTGGTTTTAAAACAAGCTGGTATTGATTTAAATACTACGTACCCCACACAAGCAATGGAGCCAGACTGAAATCTGAAGATGGAGTGTTTGTCACCACAAGCTACTGCAGAGACTGGTTTACCTATCAGGGATTTCACGAGATACGGTCGAGTCTGTGGAATATTTAATATAAGAAACAAGTTTTATAAAATAATGCTGCATATATATAAAATGTATTTTATGTATGGTAGAACATCAGCGTATCAATTGAAAGTAATATGAAAAAGCAGTCCATAGTGTATTGTACTTTTAGAAGAGTTTGAAATATAAGGAACATAATTCAAAATGTAAGAATTAAATGTAAACTAGAGAACACAGCAGAACCATCATCTGATCTAATTTGTTCTTTAAAAGTTGGATCTTTTCTTTCTATTCTCTTCTTTCCTCTGTTTTTGCTCTCAACTATATGAAATTTGATTATTCCTCTAAAGAAATAACAATAATAATCTACAGCTGTCAAATCAAAGTTAGTTGCCGGTTGGTTATTTTGTTATTTCTCACTGGTAACAAAATCAGAAAGGTGTAACAAGGGACATTGGGGAAACTACATACAACTTTTGAGGAAAATCTACGCTCTACATCTCAAGAAATAGCCATAACGAACCTTCAGAATCAGAATCCAAGATGGCCACCTGTCAGCAATTTTTATATTTAATCATTTCCAAAATTAAAATGGCATAACTAAGGACTCAGGAAAACCTTTACATATGAAATTTAAAAAAGATCTTCTCAACAAAAAGGGAACTCTTTAATAGTAAAATTCAAGACTGGTGCCTGTGATTAGCCTTTCAATATTTATTATCTTTGTAATGCTACCCTAGTTTTAATCATAACAAAACATCAGCAACATAGCATGATAATCATTGTTTTGTACAAGTTTAAAACACATTCAAGCATTTATAAAATTGTGTTTTTCTTAAAGTTTAAGCACACAACATCCATACCGATTGAATTGTCCCACATTACCAGTTGAGTGTCCTAGATTACTGATTGAGCAACATTTCTGTCATACTACTGTTTGTGTTGTCCTAGATTACTGATTCAGTAACATTTCTGTCATACTACTGTTTGTGTTGTCCTAGATTACTGACTGAGTAACATTTCTGTCATACTACTGTTTGTGTTGTCCTAGATTACTGATTCAGTAACATTTCTGTCATACTACTGTTTGTGTTGTCCTAGATTACTGACTGAGTAACATTTCTGTCATACTACTGTTTGTGTTGTCCTAGATTACTGATTCAGTAACATTTCTGTCATACTACTGTTTGTGTTGTCCTAGATTACTGACTGAGTAACATTTCTGTCATACTACTGTTTGTGTTGTCCTAGATTACTGACTGAGTAACATTTCTGTCATACTACTGTTTGTGTTGTCCTAGATTACTGACTGAGTAACATTTCTGTCATACTACTGTTTGTGTTGTCCTAGATTACTGATTCAGTAACATTTCTGTCATACTACTGTTTGTGTTGTCCTAGATTACTGACTGAGTAACATTTCTGTCATACTACTGTTTGTGTTGTCCTAGATTACTGATTCAGTAACATTTCTGTCATACTACTATTTGTGTTGTCCTAGATTACTGACTGAGTAACATTTCTGTCATACTACTGTTTGTGTTGTCCTAGATTACTGATTCAGTAACATTTCTGTCATACTACTGTTTGTGTTGTCCTAGATTACTGACTGAGTAACATTTCTGTCATACTACTGTTTGTGTTGTCCTAGATTACTGACTGAGTAACATTTCTGTCATACTACTGTTTGTGTTGTCCTAGATTACTGACTGAGTAACATTTCTGTCATACTACTGTTTGTGTTGTCCTAGATTACTGACTGAGTAACATTTCTGTCATACTGAGGATTCATTTATTTTCGTTGGGTTCAATTTTCGTTGTTTCTACAAATTAGACAGTTTCGTGGACTCATAAATTCGTGGATTTTTGATTCTGTGGGAAAAAAATAAAAACGTTAGAATTTTCTCTTTTTGCTTCCAGTCGAATTTTTTTCTGTTTGTATTAAGGCTATGTTCACAGGAATTAACACTAATGACAAGAATAAAAGAACGTTTTTTTTTTTTTCAAGATGGCGTCCTGTGTTTTTATAACGCTGTTTACAACAGTCTCGCAATAATATCAAACCACAAATCAGTATATATCCTGGCGTGTAATCAATCGGTAATTATCAGAAACAATTGTTTTCAGTGGATAAGCATTGTGTGCTGATCAGTCGGTGTACCGCAGTCATATGAAAACACCACGCGTATCGATGGGACCATGTGTGTAAACAGGTGTGTAAACAAGATCTGCATTATTAATAATTATTGTGAACCTGTAGTCGGATAGAAATACGGATCCAATCTTCAGTCGACAGGATGGTCCGATCAAGCCTAGTGTCCACAGTGTCGCTAACGACTGCGATCCCATCATACTTAGCATCACAATGGGTACTTACCCTTTGTTATGTTTAATAATATATAATTATATATCTTTGACACCAATTTAGCGTATCCATGTCGAGCCTCAGACTACCCGACTCCCGACTAATTACGGGGCTTCTGTCATTACCGGTGGACGTTTCCGGTGTCGGCAAAGATTACTTGGTCAAATTTCAAAATTACTTTTCTGTTCATATTTCGTTGTGTTTGTGTTTGTCATCCACGAAAACAACGAAAATTGGACCCCCACGAAATAAAATGAATCCACAGTACTACTGTTTGTGTTGTCCTAGATTACTGATTCAGTAACATTTCTGTCATACTACTGTTTGTGTTGTCCTAGATTACTGACTGAGTAACATTTCTGTCATACTACTGTTTGTGTTGTCCTAGATTACTGACTGAGTAACATTTCTGTCATACTACTGTTTGTGTTGTCCTAGATTACTGACTGAGTAACATTTCTGTCATACTACTGTTTGTGTTGTCCTAGATTACTGACTGAGTAACATTTCTGTCATACTACTGTTTGTGTTGTCCTAGATTACTGACTGAGTAACATTTCTGTCATACTACTGTTTGTGTTGTCCTAGATTACTGATGGAGTAACATTCCTGTCATACTACCATACTGTTTGTGTTGTCGTAGATTACTGATTGAGCAACATTTCCGTAGTGTAGCTGTAGCACTATTGTAGCACTTTCATGTGTTTGTGACTAAAAGCGAACAGCAAACATGCAAAGGTCTGTAGCATCTACATGTTTATTTAAATAATGAAATGCTGTGTTACGGATCTTATTCTGTCTGGCAGTCACTTGTTATCAGTTTGATAACAATACATAGTTTTAAACACTGTACTTGTAAATAAAAGGTTTTTTCAGGTTTTACCATTGCTGAAAATGACATTTGATGTCATACCTCATATGGTATCATATACCGGTACTTCAAAATTTTATTTCATAGGGCTGTTCAAGCTAACTTACTATTAGCAATAAGTATCATTCAATGGTGTAAATGATATGTACTTTTAGATCCTAGGGTCTCGGTACTTACTTCAGCTCAAAATCTATAATCAATATCCATCCACATTAACACCTTCTTCATTTTAACCAATGAGAGGCATTTGAATCATGATGAAAAGGGTTTCATTTTAATCTAAAATATTTCATATTACTCAACACAAACTGTTAATTCTTATTTCACTTGTTACTGAAATGGAAGATTTAAAACAACACATCTTTATAGTATTGCTAGAAATCTGTGGAAAGATATGGTTAACTCAAAACAGCATACAATTTGTGTTATTTTCATTTTAAGTGTTGTGCTCAACATCACTAGAAACTCTGAAACACACATCACACCAATCAATTAATACACACAAAATTAACGGTGCTGTTTTCTATGGGGTGTGTAGGAGTGTCTAACTTATATGTGATGGATTCATTTTTGTTGGAAATTTGATCTTGTTTTAAATGCCATAAACAAATAGCAGTTAATTAATGCTAAATGAATTAACATTTGTGGGGAAGCAACTAAGTTTTTTTAATATTTTGTATAATAATCAGACAATTCTATTTCTCTCCACTCCTTTTGCAAAAAAATCTTTTATCTATTATCATCCACACTTTGTTATGCATTACAATTCTGATTCCTAAACATCTGACTAGAAAATACATATCTTTTTTCTGGTCCCTAACAATCTGCTATTGACAAATATCATGTTGTTTTTTTTAAAATAAAACCATGTACATCTTTTGTAGTTTCAGTCAAAATGCCAAGAACTGATCTATCACACTGTCCTGTAATAAGTAACCTGCCGTCCTGAATATAAGCAGGGTGATGATATTGGAAAAACTAAATGAATCTGTCTGAATGCATTTTTTTGTACAGTTTTCAGATCATAGTGTCATTAATCTTTAACACTATGCATGTTTTATATAAAGACTGAATCAGCTATTTGTTTGGAGCTTGCTGACTACCTAGCTTGGTATATACAACTTATTGTCCTAGAAATAAGTGAACTTAGCAGCACTTCAACACAAACAGATACACAGGTCTATTTGTCACCTGACTAGGATTGGACTTCTTCTTTTCTTGAATTGTTGTAGCCATTTCTCCCGGCAACCTTCGCAACTTTGGTAAGGGAGGTAACAACCGCCCCTTAGTAACCAAAGAGGTAGCAATTATAGCCAAATATAACTATTGAAAGACTTAATGCTGATGAAGTGTATTTATAGTTCTAAACAAAATTATAACAACATAGAACTTTACAGTTTAGAAACAATATTATTGCAGATTCATCACAAAATATTTTCTTCACAATCATTTTTCAGAACTTGATAAATAATCCCAATTTCAATCTTACCTGGTTTTCTTTAAAATTTTTCTCTCTGAAGTTGTAACCAAGTTGGGCATAGAAGTTGTTTCCAAAGCTGTACACCTGACCATTGTTAAAAACGACCATCGAATGACGCCCTCCACAGGCCACATCCACCACTTCTGGAGGACTAGTCCTCTGGGCCAGCTTGTTCTGGATCACTTGGAGACGATCAGACACCACAGTATCTTGAGCAACGCTCATCAAGTCCACTCGCCTTGGCTCACAGCTACTATCTGTGCTCAAACTTCCAAGTCTGATAAAAATGAAAACAAAAATAATCAAAAATTTCCAACAAAAACAGAAAAATTAATGGAACAGAAAGTCAGAAACTAGTTATGGAAAGAAAGTATAGGTCAGCATTTCAACTCAAGTTGAAAACCTTTAACTTATGTGATATTAATTACACAGATTTAATCATATCAGTAAAGAAAATATCTCCCTATGGTAACTGTGACCTGAACATTGACCTTTGAACCATAACACACAAACATATCCAAGAATTCTTATCGACCTGTGACCTTACATTAAGTTCATCAATAAAATCATATAAAAAAAATGTCACTGAATTGGTTGAAAGTTTTAAATGTGTTTTAATCCTGAATGTTGTTGACCATTGTATAAATTTTGATCAAATCCTTTAAGATATGGAGCCTCTAAAGTGATGATGCTGATTTTATACAGGATAGGCCATGGAGGAATCAGTTAAAGTACAACTCACTTGTGTCGAACTGACTTGAATCAAATACAATGGACAAGTCAAATGTTTTGTTCAGCCACAACTTTTTCTCTGCTTCATCTTAAACATGGATGACTCAAACACTGTTGAATCATATATTATATTTGTGTCAATTTTATTTTGTGATCCATCTCTTCAAAATTCTACCAAAATTTCCTTTTTTGTGTTGAACATCTGAGATAAAAATACCTGGCTTCATTCTGAATGACTGAGTATGATCAGCTGTATCTGTGTTAACAGACTCTCCTGTAAGTTTCTGATATCAATCAGGTGCACAAGGGAAGGTTTGAATTAATAAAGAATTAGGCAATTAAACTTTAAATAAAATACACTGTAGTCTGTTAACCATAAATCTACTGTGTTCTTTTAACTTTTTTAAGCAATAACTACCATGCCAATGTTGATTAATGACTTGTGGCCTAACAACCTGGACGGTCACCTGAGGTAAGCAATATTGAGTATAAAGGTTACAGGGTAAGTAGATTTAAAGTGTCACAAAAAAGTAATAGTGACATTAATGATAGTAAGACTTGGGTGATATGTTTTAAGTTCTTAGCGGTCAGCAAGTTTCAATACATGCAAACCATCAAAATTGTCATTCTAAACTAATAAACCTGAAGTTTTTCAATGGAAAATAAACATTAGGCCAAAAAACCAATTTTCCTATGAAATTTTAGAAAATTACAAAATTTTATCGAAATTGATTTAGAGGTTTTATAGAAGTTGAAAACGTTTAAAGTTTACAGAAGCACAATGCAAGAAACCAGACAATTGGTGATGGCAATAAGTCACCATGATATTTTGTCTCAGAAGACCTAAATATGCTAGTCTGTCATTGACACATTCTTGTGGATAAACACTGACCAGTGTTTGCTTGTCACACATAAAATGACTATAATTACTGAGCAGTGTTTGCAGATGGGGTACAGCTGTTCATTATTTTAATTGGCAATTCCTGCGACTCCGTCATGATGCATTTAGAAAACTCTGAGTCAGGTAAAATCTTGACTATGATAACCTATAACTGAAGACTGAAGAAACTTGTGTGCCAGCAATCCTAGAGACAGACTAAGCAACTACGTATGATGGAAACAGACTTTTCGATGATATTTCAGTGGTCGTCTGTGTTATAGAAATGTCATTACTTAGTGTTTATTGATTGTGTTTGGTGAGAACTTATTTAATTAGTGTTTATAAGGACTTCTAATAATCAGTGCCTGGTACTGAGAGTATTTCAGCTGCTGTGTTTTAGCGCCTTTGTTAATGTTTTTAAAGTATATGCTCTCACAGCGTGATTCTGTTACAGTCATGCTTGTCTATGAGAGTTGGTGCGTATTTTACAGTATATACTCTCACAGCGTGATTCTGTTACAGTCATGCTTGTCTATGAGAGTTGGTGCGTATGTTACAGTATATACTCTCACAGCGTGATTCTGTTACAGTCATGCTTGTCTATGAGAGTTGGTGCGTATGTTACAGTATATACTCTCACAGCGTGATTCTGTTACAGTCATGCTTGTCTATGAGAGTTGGTGCGTATGTTACAGTATATACTCTCACAGCGTGATTCTGTTACAGTCATGCTTGTCTATGAGAGTTGGTGCGTATGTTACAGTATATACTCTCACAGCGTGATTCTGTTACAGTCATGCTTGTCTATGAGAGTTGGTGCGTATGTTACAGTATATACTCTCACAGCGTGATTCTGTTACAGTCATGCTTGTCTATGAGAGTTGGTGCGTATTTTACAGTATATACTCTCACAGCGTGATTCTGTTACAGTCATGCTTGTCTATGAGAGTTGGTGCGTATGTTACAGTATATACTCTCACAGCGTGATTCTGTTACAGTCATGCTTGTCTATGAGAGTTGGTGCGTATGTTACAGTATATACTCTCACAGCGTGATTCTGTTACAGTCATGCTTGTCTATGAGAGTTGGTGCGTATGTTACAGTATATACTCTCACAGCGTGATTCTGTTACAGTCATGCTTGTCTATGAGAGTTGGTGCGTATGTTACAGTATATACTCTCACAGCGTGATTCTGTTACAGTCATGCTTGTCTATGAGAGTTGGTGCGTATGTTACAGTATATACTCTCACAGCGTGATTCTGTTACAGTCATGCTTGTCTATGAGAGTTGGTGCGTATGTTACAGTATATACTCTCACAGCGTGATTCTGTTACAGTCATGCTTGTCTATGAGAGTTGGTGCGTATGTTACAGTATATACTCTCACAGCGTGATTCTGTTACAGTCATGCTTGTCTATGAGAGTTGGTGCGTATGTTACAGTATATACTCTCACAGCGTGATTCTGTTACAGTCATGCTTGTCTATGAGAGTTGGTGCGTATGTTACAGTATATACTCTCACAGCGTGATTCTGTTACAGTCATGCTTGTCTATGAGAGTTGGTGCGTATGTTACAGTATATACTCTCACAGCGTGATTCTGTTACAGTCATGCTTGTCTATGAGAGTTGGTGCGTATGTTACAGTATATACTCTCACAGCGTGATTCTGTTACAGTCATGCTTGTCTATGAGAGTTGGTGCGTATTTTACAGTATATACTCTCACAGCGTGATTCTGTTACAGTCATGCTTGTCTATGAGAGTTGGTGCGTATATACTCTCACAGCGTGATTCTGTTACAGTCATGCTTGTCTATGAGAGTTGGTGCGTATGTTACAGTATATACTCTCACAGCGTGATTCTGTTACAGTCATGCTTGTCTATGAGAGTTGGTGCGTATATACTCTCACAGCGTGATTCTGTTACAGTCATGCTTGTCTATGAGAGTTGGTGCGTATTTTACAGTATATACTCTCACAGCGTGATTCTGTTATAGTCATGCTTGTCTATGAGAGTTGGTGCGTATTTACATGTTTGTGCTGTAATACGTATTTCACATCACATTTTTGCTGTATATTCATACTTATTATTTCTATTTAGATAGAAGATATTTTTATTCCGAAAAAAAATGTTTTTATCTATTTATTACTTATTTCTCCATCCAAAAATGTAATCAATCTTCAATGAACAACATAGAAACATGGCTAAGTCAAACAATCAGATAAGTTGAATATTTCATTTGATCTGTCAACTTCGACTTATCTGTGTTTTACTGTAATTCTATAACTTAATTAATTTCATCAGGTTCTATACCACATAGAATGAACCAGTGTTACCTATGAACCATCAACCATTCACAGATCTATATAATTAATAACAAAAACAAGTTGTCTCACAAATAGCAAAAATAACCAGTAGTTAAGTCTTATATCACACTGAAGCAATTCCATGTCTGATCTTTGCAAAAACATAACTATGGAATTTATCAAATACCCACTATGCATTGGAAACAGCAACAAACCCAAGATAAGACGGTAGTGATTTGCTAGATCTGTAATAAAATGGCCAGAGCAAACTTTCAATATACTTCAAAATAACATAATTTGTGTTGCAAGTTGGTTCTAGTTGTTTTCTTTCAGACGAAGAATTGTAATTACTTATCTTTCATCATTTGTGGATGATATTTGACAAACTTACAAAAAATATTTTTGATCAATAAAATGCAAAACAGTTGGGATGGCTTCCATGGGTTCCAATATCAACTGATTGTCTTCCATTCACAGAAATTCATGGAACTTCTATTAATCTTAAATGAACTTAAGACCTTCCCTGTAAAACAAGCATACTGAGAATTGCTGAAGCAATACATTCTCCTACCAGCCCTAAAAAGCTAGTACAAAGTTATGATTTATAAAATTTCTAAAAATAGTAACAGTGACCTTGACCTTGACCCAAAACCCCTCAAACTCGAAAATATCCATGATGATTTGATGATTAATAAGTGTGTGAAATTTGATAAGCCGCTAAAAGAATGAAGCAGCTAGACTACTGACAAACTTTCACAGATACAATGGCAGAAACATAGACAGGAAAGCTATAGTAAAATTTACATTGGCCATCTTAAATTCTGAAGGTAGATGAGAGGAATTAAGCAGAGATCCTTTATACAATAGTAGTTTAAGCTATGGATATATCTATTCTGTGTCCAATTATGAAGACTTCAAAAACGAAATCTTCATACCAAGGGTCATAACAGGTCAAAATCTGAAATTCTCATCTAGTTTAAAATCAAACTTGACCTGGCCATCAATAGTTTGCGGAAGAAATCATCTATTTGGGAGTCTTAAAACTAAAACTATTCAAATGAGAAAATCTGAGAAAGTATGTATTTCAAATCGGAAAAGCATAGTATAAATTTTAAGTACATTCCTAGCAGTAATGACACCAGCAGATTGTAGTTTGAGTTTGATGGACCCACAAAAACTTGGTTAAGTTACACAACAATATTTGTTTGGACAAAGAAACCAATCACCAGCTAGAATACTGACACATTAGAAATCGCCCAATAGTGTGTCCGACTCTAATCCTGAGTCCTGACATGTCAGAAAGGACCCCACAAGGTGTCTGACTCTAAACCCGAGTCCTGACTCATCAGAAAGGACA